GCGAGAACTAACCGCCACGGATTTCTCATCTGCGCTTCTCGAACTATGCTCGGACATTCTGACGAGTACACGTTCGTAAATGCAGGTTTTAATTTGCTCCAAATTAACCCTCGAATCAGGTCGCGTTCACCTTTTTTGCACTTTCGGGGAAATTAACCCTTTCGCAGATCAAATTCATGTTGCAAGTGAGTCAAAAAAGTGAGGCAACACGTATCATTTCTTCGACGATGAACTTCCTTCTCGATGGAAAAAAGTTCTTTTGAAAATTAAATCTCGTGCAAATGAAATATGCAATAAAATCTTTTTCCGGAGCAATAACTTTAATAAGATCTTTAGAGTAAGAACTTTATTAAATTTCTTTCATTAGAGTAAAAACTTTGATAAAATTTTTTTTATTATAGTAAGAACTTTAATAAAAATTTTTTTCGGAGTAGTAACTTTGCTGTAATAATGTTGGTACATATATAATTTTTTTTTCTTTATTAAAGTTTTTACTTTAATAAAATTTTTTTCAAAATAATAACTTTGCTGTAATAATGTTGGTACATATATAAATATTTTTTTTATTAAAGTAAGAACTTTAATAAAATTTTTTTCACAGTAATAACTTTGCTGTAATAATCTTGGTACATATATAAATATTTTTTTATTAAAGTAAAAACTTTAATAAAATTTTTTTTCGGAGTAATAACTTTAATAAGATTTTTAGAGTAAGAACTTTAATAAAATTTCTTTTATTAAAGTAAGAACTTTGATAAAATTTTTTTTATTAAAGTAAGAACTTTAATGAAATTTTTTTCGGAGTAATAACATTGTTGTAATAATGTTAGTACACATATAAATATTTCTTTTATTAAAATAACAACTTTAATAAAATTTTTTTAACTGTAATAATGTTAATACTGGAATAATAATGTTACTTTTGTTACAAACAAACTTTTGTGACAAAACAAATTTGTAGAAAAATTTGACTCGCAAGAGGGTGAATTTGATCCGAGAATTTCAAACGCAAAAGAGTGAATACGATTCCACAAAAGGGTTAACTTCTACTGCCAAATGCGAATGTTCTTCCTTTATTTTCGACTAATGGTGAATAAATCCGCGAAGGAAGGTTAATTTCTACTGCAAGAAGGTGAACGTGACCTGTAGAAAAGTTGATTTCAAGTGGAAAACCGACGCGAGCCTAACCTAACCTAACTTAGTCTCATTAGAAACTGTGCTACGGGTTCTTATTTCGGTTTGCGTGGAAGCGACGACCTCGAGTTGCGGCTAACTGTCTAGGAGAAAGAAGAACCTTCGAACTTGGTCGATGTAGACCTCAAGAGACAGACCTAGGGGCACGTGACAATAGCAAAGAGGAAGAAAAAGAAGAAGAGGCGCGCGGAGAGTATGCCTCCGGCACTTTTCTCTCGGCTTAATCGTTATGGAAAGTCGGCGGATAATATGGGACGTCGACGCTACGGACAATCTCTTGCGAAAACCGTTTGGATCCGAGGTTCCGTGCCATAGTCGTCAAACAAACGAAAGATTTTACGAAACCTTTGGGACTTGGGAACAAAATGTCGGAAATAAAGAGCAAAAGCGCGTCGATCTCGACGAAACAACACCGCAATTAACGCTAGATCTACCGAGTATCAAAGTATAACAGTTGATTCAAAAAGATAATTAGAATAAAAGAAATATGAAATGATTTATAATACGATAACAAACAGGAACTTTTATTCATATATTTTACAAAAACCACTCGAGTTTCTAAAAAATGTCACACTAAAATAAATCTAACTAACAATAAATGTAACACTAAAATAAATCTAACTAACAAAAAATGTTACACTAAAATAAATCTAACTAACAGTAAATAAATCTAAAAATAATAAATAAATCTAACTAACAATAAATAAATCTAAAAACAATAAATAAATCTAACTAACAAAAAATGTAACACTAAAATAAATCTAACTAACAAAAAATGTAACACTAAAATAAATCTAACTAACAAAAAATGTAACACTAAAATAAATCTAACAATAAAAAAATAAATCTAACTAACAATAAATCCGCGAAATTACTCTGAAAAATTATAAATCGGTCGTTTTCAGAAGAAAATGAAAATGCGAGATTAATAAGGAAACCGCATGTAAATCATGTGTACCTGTAAAATGTGCAAAATCGTGGAAAAATATTCAAAATAAATTTATTATTGAGACTCAGCACGGGCACGTGCACAGTGAATAGCGTAATGTAACTGATCAGTATCATTGACAATGAAACATTAAAAATGATCCACTTCGACTCGTTTTTAAAGCTTCTAATTTGTTTTCTCGAGGATGATGTTCACATCATGTAGTGGAAAAAGATACTTTCTTTCCCGCCGAAAATTACAAAAAAATCCAAACATCGACGTGTAAAGGTGTTAAAAAATTCTTTCACGACTTGTTCCGCTATGATTTTAAAGAAAAATTTTCTCTTTGCAAACGAGCTTTGTTTTACGATTCTTTTCTCATTGAACATTAAGCATGAATTTTTCTCGTTTAACTGCAATGTTCATCATTGAGAAACAATGGTACAGCAAGTTTTGAATCTTTAAAATGATGGCGGAACTGGTGTACGAAATCGCGGTGTTTGAATTTTCACGATTTTCGAGGGAAAAGAAAAGTGTTGTTGCACGACGAAGTTACAATTTTTCATCGTCACTGACACTTGCAAAATCGATAGTAGCTATAGCGCCTATCCTCGATTATCCACTAACGAAATTTCGAAAAGTTCTAGCCACTGGCGGAAGACGGACAGGTGTATCACCGTGTGCCGATCGCGCGTAACTCGAGCAGGAGTTACGCGTATCGCTTATAATCGGTGCGTAACGATTTGAAATACGCGTCCCGTTCTTGTGCGACCGCGGATAATACGCACAGAGCCACACCGCAAGAATCTCGCTGGATCGGATCGGTTGGGCAGTCCACACTTGTCGACGCACCGACACTCTACACTTGTTCCAACTCTCGAAATTCCAAACTGTTTGAACAAGCAAACAATCCGTGAGAAAAATCGAAGAAGCAATAGAAAACATATTCTTCTTCGACAAGAAGATTGACGACACTCAGGAAATACGGCAATAAGAAATATTCTTGAAAATTGAAAACTGAATATTCGGAGAAAAATGTTTGAAAGAGCAAGCTCGCGGGAAACAATGAAAAATATCCTTCGACGATAAAATCGAGAAGAATCGTAAACTGTTGGAACGAGCCAACTGTCGAAGAAACGAAGAAGCAATAGAAAATACTTTTCGTCGATAAAATCGAGAAGAATCGAAAGCTGTTTAAACGAGGGAACTCCCGAAGAAAGACGAAGAAGCGAAAGAGATTCGAAAGCTATTTGAACGAGCAAACTCGCGAGGAATCGAGCAATGAAAAATATTCGTGGACGATAAAATCGAAAGGACATTGAAAATTGTTTGAACGAGCAAACTCCTTAGAACTCGAGGGACAATTTAATTTGAGGAAATTGATGGAGAAACAGGTCGATGTCTAAATACATATGCGTCGGTATTCTAGTAATCCGGCTTGAAAAAGTCAATTTTCTTTTTTACATTTTTTCGAAGTATATGCTTTTGAGAATGTCTATGTAAAAGGATTTGTTTGAATTTGCAAAATTAGCAAAGTTATAGAGTTTAAAGTTAAAGATATTATATATTATATTATATTATATTATATTATATTATATTAAAGTTAAATTATACATTATATTATATTAGTTAAATATATATAAAAGTATATAATATTAAAGTTAAATATATTATATATTATACATATTATATTATATATATATTATAATTATAAAAGTATATAACAGTAAAGTTAAATATATTATATATTATACATAATATATTTAACTTTAATATAATAGTATATTTATAAAAGTATATAATATTAAAGTTTAATATTATATTATATATATATTTAAAATAGAAATATATATATATAAATATATATTATATAAGTTGAAAGGAAGCAGTGTAAGTATGAATATTTTGTACAACGTAAGCATGAATATTTTTGTACAACGGGCGACAAAAATTTTAAATATGTTTTTCTCAAAAAATATTTTATTTTGCATTATTATTTATACTATTATTTATTTTTATATTATTATTATTTTATAATATTTTATTTTTTGTACTGCTCGATTGATTATTGTAAGTGTGAATATTTTGGTACAATTTGGAGGAGATCATCACCGGATGTATCTTTATCGCGTGTACCACGGATCTCAAAAATCTAATATTTTTCTTCTCTTTTTGTTTACCACTCAAAGGATTAAAGCACAAGGAAAATCGATATTTAAGCTTCAAAAAGCTGCCATTTTTTTAAATTTTCGAAATTTCACTGTTTCCGTGGTTCATGCGATAGCCGTATTTATACAAATTAAGATCCATTTTGGTGTTTTAATTTCAAATAAAGGTGGACCGGAATCACGTCAGCCATTCGAACCCGAAAATTTTTTAAAAACATATAATTTCCACGACTTTCGTCAATTTCGTTAAAAAAAAAAAAAAAATTATAGATACTCTTCAAGTATGAATAAACCTGTGCGCGAAAAACTGCATATCAAAACCAATCATGGTTTCCATTGAAAAAAATTCCGAGAAAAGTCGATCTTTTCAACATTACCTCCCAGAATACACCCTTAAACCGGAAGATCGGCGAAATCCCGGGCCCGACGAAATTGTTTCGAAAAGCTGCAGGAGGGGAGCAACGTACGGGAGTTTGCGGATGGTCTCGCGGTTAAAGGAGGTTGAGTGAACACACAGTTGGGGGACAGAGAACGAGTAGACAGCCGACAGGAGTGGAGAGGAGATGAGGAGAAGTGGAGAGAAGAGACGAGCGAGAAGGGGGGCAAAGAGAGAGGGGGGGGGGAGGTCGAAAGAGAGAGAGAGAGGGAAAGAGACAGGATAGACGGTGTTTGTAATCAAAGGGGCGATCCGCGGCACGGCGTGGAAGAAAGTCAGCCTATTGGCGAGAGCCAGTCCGGCACCGCGCGTTGTCCCGAATGCACGTCGAACCGCCGATTTCCGCGTGTGCTGGCCACGTGATCGCGCTCGATCGCGTTCGATACACCTTTACCAGCGATCGCTCTGCTGCTGCTGCTGCCGGCTCTCAGTTCTTCCATCACGGTGGTTCTCGTCCTCACTTCTCCGTTTTCGAAACGCGAAATTCCTCGTCTGCGAGCCTCCGTCTCGAATCGATCGCGTAATCGCCGTTCGTCGTTCAACAGACATTGGTACACCTAGAGAGAGAGAGAGAGAAAGAGAGAGAGACTCTATAACGGTACACCGCGAAAGGTGACTTACGCGGAGAAAACCTGGCACGAAATACTGGCAACCGAGTCTGGAAGAAGCTGCGCTCGAAGAGGATCACGTGGTTAAGAATACCGGTGCACGCAGTGGACAGAGACTTAGGGATCGGCGACGAGAACTAGCGGCGAATGAATGGTAAGTAGGGGCAGTCGTCGTGAGAACCAGCTGGCGAGAAATGAAAGAGAAAAAAAAAAAAGGAAATTCGCTGTGTAACAGATCTTCGCTGTGCGATCGATGAAGATCGATCGAGAATTTTTTTCCTACTTTCCACTTTCTGCGTTCGAGGGGGGGGGGGGGGGGGGGGGTTGAACACTTTCGGGGGTTCGTTCGCAAGGTCGAAGTCGGGAGAGTGAAGTCACACGGCTGTTACGTGAAACGAAACGGAGCGAAAGACTGTGGATGAAGCATCGATGGAAGACAGATGGAAGAAGCTACGAGCAACGAGCCGGCAACGTATCGAACGCGACAGATTGGCGTTCGCGCTCGCTCGCTCGCTTAATCCGTTTAACCAGATGCCACAGCTACGGCTTCGACGAACGTCATACGTAAATCGAAGAATACGTCAGAATCGTCGACGTACCTGTTCCTCGACTGATCAATTAAACGTTAATAATGAGAGCAATCGATCACTTTGACTGTACCAGAAAACAAATTGGAAGGGTTTCTGCTTTGTGTCTTGACTTCTTCGATACGAACCAAGTTACGTTGTGTAATTCCTGGTTTCAACAATGTAACTGGCACAATAATGTGTCGTAACGGTGAATTAATTTTCGAGCTATAAAGTCTCGAGATGCTAGAAAGTATATAAGACAATTTTACATATTTTATTGGTATTTAGTATTATCTTTTCGAATTCTATGTTGTGGCACTGGCGGCACTTTTTGTTCTCTCTTGTATATTTTTCGAATACGAATAAAATTATTCGAGAATAATGCAAAACAAATAAAATAGTAGTCCCTGGTTCTCAGGAACAATAAATATATTTCAAACTTCCGAGAAGCAAAACAAAAATATATGTATATATAACAATTTTACATATTTTACGCGCTTCTCAAACTTTGTACATTGCTGAGACTAAGAAATACAGAACATAACTCTATTTGTATTAAAAATATATAGAAATATAAAATAAAAATATAAATATATAATATAAAAATATAAAATATAAAATATAATATAAAAATATAAATATAAATATATTATATAAAAATATAAAAATATAAATAAAATATAATATAAAAATATGAAAATATAAATAAAATATAATATAAAAATATGAAAATATAAATAAAATATAATAAAATATAAATATATAACATAAAATATAAACTATAATAAAATATAATATAAAAATATAAATAAAACCTAAACTATAATAAAATATAATATACAAATATAAATAAAACCTAAAATATAACAAAATATAATATAAAAATATAAATAAAACCTAAAATATAACAAAATATAATATAAAAATATAAAAATATAAATAAAGTATAAAATATAAAATAAAAATCTAAACGAAGAAGCTAAGCACCAAGCGGAAACTTCAGATTTGGCATAATTGCGTTAATTGATCTCGTTATTATATTTCTCATTTATTTGATAATCAGTTTCTAAAATGTCAGTTTCTAAACGGGTAGTTCATTTCGGGATAGTTCGCTCTTCTTATTCAACGTGTTAAAAGTAAATGAAATCAATCCAGTGGAAAAAAATAAACGTGTCCTTGGTTTCTCCCAACATTCTCGCAACATGTTTCCTTTCAACTTCCCCGATTTTTGGTTCCTCTCGGTCACTTCCTTCTCCATCAGCGGTAGTAAAATCGGTTGCCGGATAATATACGGGACGATTTCCTCTCTGGATCGACAAGAAATCTCCGCCGGTGAAACCAGTTTTCACGGTAATGGCGGACGTTGGACCTCTGCGGGCCTTCGAAAGCCCCTTCGATGGCATTCTCTTTCTTTTTTTTTTTTTTTCCTTCCATCACGAACGGATCGCCGTGATTTCCTAGCCGATGCATGGATAATTATTCCCCCGACTCGCGTGAAAGTTCCGAGCTCGCGGAGCACAACGACGACGACGACGACGACGTGGCGAGGAAGCGCGCCACGCTTGCCAAACAAACAACGCACGCGTGCGCGCAACACGCTCGAAGAGACGCGCGCTGCTTCTCAGCGCCGACGAACCTCGATTTTCCGTTTATTTCACTGTCGTGTATCACCGTTGTTGTACACAAAGGTTCCGTGACTCGAGGTAATCTTGTTGTTATTAATTATTAACAATCGCAGCTGGCGGAGATCTAGTTCAGGGTAAATTACCGGGCGATTACGTAGCGTAGAATCGTCCGTTCTTTCGCGAACGAGCTGTTTAACACGTTAATCGTGTAGGTTTTGCCTCTTTTTTTTTTTTTACGTTTCCGTTTTTCTTGTTCCTCTTTTTATGCTTTTTTTATTCTTTTCGCTGAGTTCACATGTAGTATGCACGTGCTCTTCAGTCGTTAAACTCGTGTAAAATTAGAAATTTTTCGCATCCCTCGTGTGTAGAAATGTAGAGAATTTTCAACGAGACCCTTAAATCCCACAATGTATAAATAACTACATGCATTTTTATGTAAATTAACGCAACTACGACTACTTGAAGGTAATTCAAAAATTCACCGTATCGAGAAAATTATATAAATTATTATATAAAACTAGATAGTTATATAATTGTACAACTATATCAAGTAAATTCGCTTATTTGATATCGAGTTTAATTTGATTAATTTAAAAATGATTCACCATTAAAAACTCACTTTTCTGCTAAATATTATTTGCGAAATAATATTTCTTGCTTTGGGATATAAAAATAGGATCATCACCCAATGGAAACTTGATGGCTATTTAAAAAATTGTGTTAAGGGCGCGATTGTACTTCCTTGGCGCGAAAAATGCTAAGCAGCGCGTAAATTTTATTTCATTTTGATTTTATCTAAAAGTAGATAAAATAAAAATTGTCCATTTATGCACGTGGTTTAGGTTCAATTGAAAAGAAAGTAACTAGGAGAGGAAGCTTCGACATAACTGACGATACGGCGCTATAATCGAAACGGAATTAACGCATTGTACATTGAGCATCGCGGCCAAACGATATCGCATTTATCACGACTAAAATTATGGCTTAACTTCCGAAATAACACTCTGTACAAAAAGGCCTAAGAATCAATAAAGACAGGTCAATTGAGTTATGAGAAAGTTTCACTTGTAGAACTCTTTTTTGTCTCGTCAGTATTTTAATATTCAGTATCACGCAGCTAATACTTTAATTTTTTTATACATAACAAATATAACATACATTTAACAAATCAGTCAGGTATATGTTTCCTAATCACTGTTCAGTGCTGGCGTGCTGATCAGTATTTTTTTTTTTTTTTTTTTTGAGCAATCTTCTGCCACCGTGACATACTATTCGGCACGAAATCTGAACGGCGCGATCGCGCTCCGTGGCACTGAAACGATTAAAGTTTAGGTTTTAAGTTAGATTAGGTTAGGTTAGGTCACGCGCGTGCAAAAAAAAGAAAGAAAACCGGACGAATTTAAAGCGAATTTAAAACGTTTTCATGATAATAATTTCCAGCGAAACGAATACACGAGGATTTGAGTAATGAATGAAGCACACTTTAATCTTTTTATAACAAATCAGTCAGGTTTAGGTTAAGGTTAGGTTTAGATGTAGATTTAGGTGTAAATTAGATTTAGATTTTGGTTTCGGTTTAAGTTATGTTAGGTTGCGCACGCGCAAAAATAGAGCATACTTTAATGTTTTTATAACAAATCAGTCAGGTTTAGGTTAAGGTTAGGTTTAGATTTAGGTTATGTTAGGTCGCGCGCGCAAAAGAAAAAAAAAGAAAAAGAAAAAGAAAACCAGACAAATTTAAAGCGAATTTAAAACGTTTTCACAATAATAATTTCCAGCGAAACGAATACACGAGGAATTTGAGTAATGAATGAAGCATACTTTAATCTTTTTATAACAAATCAGTCAGGCTTAGGTTAAGGTTAGGTTGAGATTTAGATTTAGATTTTGGTTTCGGTTTAAATTATGCTAGGTCGCGCACGCGCAAAAATGAAGCATACTTTATTTTTTTTATAACAAATCAGTCAGGTTTAGGTTAAGGTTAGGTTTAGATTTAGGTTATGTTAGCTCGCGCGCGCAAAAAAAGAAAAAGAGAAAACCGGACGAATTTAAAACGAATTTAAAACGTTTTCACGATAATAATTTCCAGCGACACGAATACACGAGGATTTGAGTAATGAATGAAGCATACTTTAATCTTTTTATAACAAATTAGTCAGATTTAGGTTAAAGTTAGGTTTAGATTTAGATTTAGATTTAGGTGTAGGTTAGATTTAGATTTTGGTTTCGGTTTAAGTTATGTTAGGGCGCGCACGCGCAAAAATAGAGCATACTTTAATTTTTTTATAACAAATCAGTCAGGTTTAGGTTAAGGTTAGGTTTAGATTTAGGTTATGTTAGCTCGCGCGCGTAAAAAAAAGAAAAAAAAGAGAAAACCGGACGAATTTTAAGCGAATTTAAAACAGAACGTTTTCCCCAGCGAAACGAATACACGAGGATTTGAGAATGAAGCATACTTTAATATTTTTATAACAAATTAGTCAGATTTAGGTTAAAGTTAGGTTTAGATTTAGATTTAAGTGTAAGTTAGATTTAGATTTTGGTTTCGGTTTAAGTTATGTTAGGTCGCGCACGCGCAAAAATAGAGCATACTTTAATTTTTTTATAACAAATCAGTCAGGTTTAGGTTAAGGTTAGGTTTAGATTTAGGTTATGTTAGCTCGCGCGCGCAAAAAAAAGAAAAAAAAGAGAAAACCGGACGAATTTTAAGCGAATTTAAAACAGAACGTTTTCCCCAGCGAAACGAATACACGAGGATTTGAGAATGAAGCATACTTTAATATTTTTATAACAAATTAGTCAGATTTAGGTTAAAGTTAGGTTTAGATTTAGATTTAAGTGTAAGTTAGATTTAGATTTTGGTTTCGGTTTAAGTTATGTTAGGTCGCGCACGCGCAAAAATAGAGCATACTTTAATTTTTTTATAACAAATCAGTCAGGTTTAGGTTAAGGTTAGGTTC